GAGACTGCAAAAGCGTGACGGCATGAATACATTCCGAGGAAAGTTGATTTTTTTCCTTCAAACTCTTCTTGACTTGAATCCACAAGCTCACACAATTTAACGCCTAAGACGTTTTACTATCACTATCACTTTCCTTTCAGGCAACCAACGCAACGTGTGCTTTTTCTTCGATGCGTTCGCCCAACGTGACAAATTCAAAAGAAAGTGAAAGTACACATAAACTGCAACCACATTAATACAAATCACACCGAATACAATAGATTATTTCATCTGGCAATAAAAATAAAAATATAATATAATTACAATTGAATATAAATGAATAATTCATGTGTGTATAAGAAAAATAATATGATAATCAGATTGTATCACACTGTATGCTTGCAAAAAAAGAAAAAATTACAAAATCGCAGTACAGTTTACGTTTCAATGATATAACGATAGCAGGCAACACACGCACGCAACTAGTTACCTACTTTTATTAATTATTAACTTCAATAATTATTTAAATCAACAATAATTCAAATCTACGAGATGTTATTGTATAACTACATTCGCATAATAATTTTACATCATAAAATGCATGTAAATATGTAAAAATATTACTTACGTATCGTTTCCCAAACTTTTCCTTGAACAACCACCAAAACACTAGCGATAATCGCAATCCAAATTGGCACAAACATCACTGTTATTTATTTGTGTTGATTAGAAGTGGATAAATTGATTTTTGCTGCTGTAGGTTTTGTTTTTATCTGATTTATGTAATCGGATTATTATCGGCGATGTTCACCTCGTGATGTGTGTAAATCAAATGAAGCAGGGCGGGCATCCACTTTCCTTTCTATAATAATCGCTCGACGTGCGTCTGCATATCAAGAAGTCAAGCAGCGAGCGCACTCAGAGAGTCTCTAGTTAACTTCTTGCGTCTCGAGTGGAGTCTCGATTGGCGGCTCTTGAATCTGTTATATGGTTGACTGTTCACGCACTCGTAATATGTCGTTAGTTGTTAGTTGTTAGTTGTATAATTACACTCTTATACTCTTTGCATGTCGCTTTTGCACCGCCACCTGCAAAGACAGACGTTGAATTAAATAATGTTTTTGGGAATCGAATTATTTTATAGTAGGATCAGTACGTGTGTGTAATGCAGCTAAACATTTGGTAATTATCGTTGCAAATTGGTTTTGAATTGATTAGAATTAATTTTGGTGTTAAGGCAATTTAAGTGTGATGAAATATAATTAAAAATGATTGCATCAATTATTAAAAAAATTCTTTTGTAAAGTTTTGAGTTATTGAGTTATTAAGTTTTTAGTTTCTATGCTATTCAAATTTACTGTACATTATATAGATGTTCATGGTAGGCAACTTATTATACTATAAAATTTTATTTTTAGTCTTTTTTAAGTTTTTGTGTCATGAATGTTAAAATTCTAAGTTTAGGGACGGTTTATGCTGTTTATGCAATTGTGTTATTTTACTTCTGCATTAATCTTAATCAATTAATATAAAAATAATGTAATTAGTTCTAGAAACCTGCATTAACGCGGTTGCATTACCTGTGAAATGTGAATATGATAAATAAATAAATATTCGAGGTACTTTATATTGATGTGATTACCATCGGTCAGTGGGTAATAATGCATCCGCAATTGCGCGTTATACAATCGACATGATTGAAAGGTACTAGTAATCAATGCAATTGTGCAAACCCGTGCGTCTAATTAATGCGGCACATTTTTTTATTGCACACTACGTGAGGTGCAGGTTTTTTGTTCTAAACAATTGTTTCTGTTTCAATATTTATTGTAAATGCTTCTTCTTTTAAAACGTTTGTAAATTTGTGTGAATTGTCTGGTTTTTCTTTGTTGGAAAATTTATTTATTGTTTTTGGCTATATATAAAAGCAGTTGGTAAAATTATAGATACTTTACTAATAGAATAATTTGTATTGTTGGAAATTCCTGTCTAATATGGTCTGTTCAACGGTATGGATAGTAAACAAACATTAATAATGCATTCTAATTATTTTTAGGCACGTTTTCTCCATCAAAATCATCGCAGCAGGCACTTAAATGGATTTAAATCTGATTCCAGTCTGGGCCTACATACAAACAATAAAATTGATACCATTCTGCCTAACAAAAAAGGTTTTAGAGAAAGAAGCAAAGAAATCGACCAAAATTTAAAACAGAATCAAATTATTAATGTTACTATTTCTCTGTTTCATGTGGTTCATAAACTTTGTGTATATTTAGTTGCATATGTTAAGTCTAAAATTTCTCCTCCATAAGTCGTTACCTCGTTAAAGTTGACTTAACTAACATTAATTTCATATTGCATAAACGCGTGCGTATGAAACTCACTGTCTTGGAACAGATTGTCAGTTAAAGTACCAATACCATTTAATATAAATGTCTAGACGTACGAGTACATAAGATGTAATTTAATTTAATAAATATAATAAGTACATCTAATTCTTTTTTAATCTAGTTCACTTAAATATTACTAACTTATAACAATATATATTAATATAAAAGCGGTTTTCAATTAGTAATGCATTGGCATTTAAGATGGAAAATCTTGAAACTTAATGATAATTATATTTTAAAATAGAATGTTTGCAATTGTAAGCGGTGATGCGATGACACACAACGCTATTGAAGCGAGGACAACTTTTAAGCATTTTTAATAAGTACAAAATGCAATTTACCATAACGACTTTTGCTAATATATCTGCAGTTTTGTCTTATACTGCCAAGACAATAAATAATTAAATATTTTATACGCATCTGTATTTATTTTTTATTATTACAAATTCCTATCAATTATATTAATATAATAGACAGGAAGAAACAATTTGAGCATAATTTTCATGTTAATAATTTATTAACCAGCATACATAATCGTAGTTAATTTATAATCTGCTAGAAAGAATGAAATTTTCTAATGTTACATATTGCTTTAATGCTTAATGTGTAAGTACGCAACTCGTACATTGTAAACATATCATTAATGTTATATTTCGCGGCTGTATTGCAGAAATAAATTAATAAAAGAACCAGTTCTAGGCATAGTCATGCTCATGCGGTTATGGTCAATAAATCGGGCAAAACATTGCACTTCCGCTCCTGATCAGAGAAATGCAATCTACAATATCTTTCGCTTTCATTATTCAAAAGGAAAGAAAGAAGGAGCTAAACTGGAAGACATAAACATGCAAATTGCAGCGGTAGCTTTTGAAAATAATTTATAACATGTCATTTAAACCAACAAAAATTAAACTAGTTTCAAAAATTTATAGTTGAAAGGTATGAAAAGTTACTTATGCAATTTTGTGCATATAATAACTTAATTTCTTGTAAAAATTTAAAAGTTAGTATAAATTTGTTCAGCAAAATGTTCTAGTTGTTTTGCTTTGTTTGGTTTCGAACTGACTTTGACATCTATTGAATATGTTGACCAATGAAGTGGAACCTCGTATTTAAATATCCAGTTAGTACTTGGTAAAAAGACTAGCAGAGAAAGTGATATTTGCAATTGAAGCCTGGAAGGTGGTAAGTGGTGGACGCACGAGTACTCCGCATACTAAAACGCTAAAAGCTAGATAAAAGCAAACAACATTGCGAACGTAATTCTTGGATTATATCAGCAGTAAATTGAAAAATGCAATGCAGATGTAGTAACGTCGCAAAACACTACAAGTGAGAGGAGCTAATGCAACTAATGATTAAAAAACCATTGCTTGTGATGAAAACTTTTCACAATATATTTTGCAATTATAAAGGAAACTAAAACAAAAAAAACAGTCAAAAATGTTTTTTAACTTTTTTATTTTTTATAAACAATTAGAGACAATGATATATAAAGTAATATCTGTTACACAATTTTAATAATCTTATGATTTGCAATGTTGAGTGTTGAATGCGTTGTGCAGTTGGTCGGTTCACTTCTTCGGACCCTGGTAAAAGGTGGGAAATCATTTGATTTCGCGTGCGCTTGTTTAATTCAAGTGTAATCGTCACAAACGCACCACCTCGCGGCCTCGCGCCTGTCTTTAAACTAATCAGTCAAGCCTTTGTGCGCGATCTTTGTGTCTCCAATATGTGCTGGAAAAGTTGAAATAAACGCACGCTTACTGTGAAGCTGACCGGACAAACGGTAGCGCAACATAAGTGAAGTCAAGTTGCAGATTGCAATTGCAAGAAAAACTGTTTAAGAAGTCAAACGTGCTGTGTATTAAAATGGTGAAGACAGTGTCCCACGTGACCATCGTGTTACTCACATGTGCCATCGGCGTTCAAACACAGATTCGATTTGGTAAGTAGTGCACAGAGTACTTTTTTATTTTATAAATTGAATTTGTTGTTTAAAATAATTAAGTATAAAGTGTTAGATAATGTTGTTAGTGTTTGCTTTGCTAGAAGTTGGCAATCAATAAGAGTAGGTACAAGGTGTGTGTAGAGAAGCGAAAATTTACGGCTTTCTTTTAGAGATTTCGTAATAGTTGCATGTTATGTGACATACTTACTCGTTCATATATTGTGCATTTAATGGTGCATTCATCAAAATTATAATTGTGACATTTTCGTGTTTAGGCAACAAAAGGGTAGAATTATCAAATATCAATTATTCCTTGAGTGACCGAACAGTCATTTACATTTTTTGCAGCGTTGCCTTTGTGATTTTTTCAAAATGTGATTTAATTTGAGGTTAAGTACTATTTTTATGTAAGTAATGTTTTAAACTTGTTGAATGTATGTAAAAACTTCCTGTTTTATAAATTTAATTGCTCTGAATAGAAATCTTGCCGGTACGCAAATTTTCCTCTTCCGCATTTATTTAAATTTATTCCGGCAAACGCCTATAGTTGTAAAATGTATAACAAATGCGTAAGTACACGGTAACTTACTGCAATCACTTGTTTCCTAACCACACACTATTGAAAGTTAATTATACTCGTATACTATCAGCACAATCAAGATTGGATTGCAATGAATAAAAATCTTTAATTTCTATTTTGATTTAGTTGATCATTTTGCCAATTGCCGTCGATCAGATCCCCGTTTTGATAACTGCCTGAAAGATGCGATAAACTCGGTGCGTCCATATTTCAAAACCGGATTACCTCAATATGGCGTCCGACCTTTCGACCCCTTCCACGCTGAGGAAGTGGTACAAGTCAGAGGTGGGCCTACATTCAGTTATCGTCTGGTTCTGCGAAATGTTACGGAAGCTGGATGGACTGCGTCGGAAATCACTAGATTAAGGTAAATGAAGTAAAAATTAAACAAAAACAAAAGTAAAATCATAAGGATGTTCAAACAAAGCTATCTTTGTGTTAATACAAACAAAAGCAGAGACACACGTCATTAAATACTAAATACTAAATATGGTAATAAAATAGTAATTATTGCATTTTGTCATGGCATTTGTCGTGACTCTTAATAAAAGATGTCGTTAAATGAAAAAGGAATTAATGATTGCTTTGTTTTTTTTTTGTTAGAACCAATTTCAATAAAAACGAAATGCAATTCACGCAATTCTTCCCGGAAAAGCGATTAAATGGCGAATATGAATTCGAAGCAAGTATTTTCGGAAGGAGGATCAATAACAGTGGATCATGGGATTTGCTTCTGAACGACTATACGCAAACAATGAAAGTTACTCGAAATCCAAGAATGACTCAATTTGGAAATATGGTTTATGATACTCCAATGAAAGTCGACGTTAATGTGCAATTCTGTCGACATTTAGAAATGCATGTATCAAACTTATTAGGAGGACGGCCATTACTAGGTAGGCATAAATTTTAAGAAACAAATAATGAAAGCATACCTAACTAATTTTTTCTTAATTTTTTTTTATTTTAGAAAATATAGCTGACAGAATGATAAATTCTGCATGGCCGCCAGGATTTATGCTCCTAAGACCCATAATTGGTGATTTAGTTGGAACAGCATTCACTAAAATCTTTAATGATAACTTGATGAACTTTCCATTTGACCGATTGGTCCAATAGCAAAAGGTACTACTAAGTCATTTTATGTTTATAAAGAACACGCCAATAAATATTGATTTTTAAATTTTTGAATTAAGAATATATATTTGTTTGTTAATGCTAGGCAAATAATAAATTACTAATCCTACGTTAATTCAGCGGATACCACACAAACTCAAAGTTCTTCAGTCCAAAGGTCTTTTCTGTACCTTCCTTCGGTACCAAATCCGAGGTTAGATCTAATCGGATAAATTTAACTTTAGGCCTGTATCCGTTTTCATCAGCGACGTAGGTCACGATCCTGCTTACACCATCTCTGTCATTGACGAAGTACCCTCCGACTTTAGCACCGTTCTTGTATCCTTTCTCGTAGTGCCCATGGAAACCAACAGTGTAGTTAAACCGATATAGTAAATCGGTGATATCACCCTCTTTGATACCAGCTGGTAAACCATCAACCATGTTGGGATACTTGTCTTGAATTGGAATTGGTGGGTTGTTTGGCACGTTGATCACTCCATTGGATACTGTTATACCACTGTCGGATTGTGGTGGTGCTGATGGTTGATTCAAATGATTGGGTGGATTATTGATTGAAAGTGGGTTCAAAAGTGGGTCTGCTTGTGGTTGTTGATAATTGTTATCACCTGTAATTTGAGGAGATTGAGAATCTGGAGTATGTAATTGTGGTGTTGCAGTGTTTTGATTTGTTGGTGGTGGTTCTTGATTATGTATCGGTTGTTGTTGTGGTTGTGGGTGTACAAGTGGTGGTGATGTTATAGCTGTGTCTGAATTTTGTTGACCTTGGGTATGCTGTGGTATAGGTATAGTCTGTGGTTGTTGTGGTTGTTGTGGTTGTTGTTGGTTGTTGTGGTTGTGATGGTTGTGATGGTTGTACCATCAGGTGTTGCATAATCTGGTGTACCATTTATTTCAACTTGTGGAGCAATGTGTTCTTTATTACCTGGATAATTCTGTTGATTGTTGTCAGTATATTGGTTCTGATTAGGATTAACTGGATAATCATTCTGGGGATTAAATTGACCTACTGCATTTGGACCTGGACTACCTGGACTACCTGAACCAGGAAACTTGGTCTTCCACCTACAGGATCAGAAACAAAAGGAGCATTAGATTCTGGTGGAACATTAAAACCACTACTTGAAGAAACATCCGGCCGAACACCGCTTTGACCTTGACTCTGTTGTTGAACATCAGGTTTCTTTCCAATTATAACATCCTGTGGTCTTGGGTTTTGTCCTGCTTGAGTCTGGAATGGTAAGGAACTATCGGGTTTCTTCAAAGGTGTCGCATGAGTGACATAACCGCATCCAGCGCATGCGGGTTTGATTGTAGACTGCGTCGTGAAACGGTTACTTTGAGTCACTGCTTGAACAGTCTGCGCAGGCGCTGGAGTTGTGTTAATACTAAGCGGATTCGGCGCTGGGTTAGCTTGACCCTTAGATAATCCTGTAGTATCTGGCAGTTTTGCATTGGGTTCATCCAAAGCTAGAAATCAATCGTAATAATCAACAAAATCAACAAAACTTGTTTTTCTAAAATATCTTACGCCCGCTTAATCTGATATTCTTCATGCTTAGAATCCTAAAGTTCCCGTTCTCATCAGTGGCATAAACGGTGACGTGATAGACGCCATCGGCAGTGATGAACCCAAACTCTCCTTGAATCACTCCATTCGCATCTGTGATATAAAGAAAAACGCAATATGATATTTTCAATAACTCCTACGTAAATTATTACACATAATATTCTATATTAACAGTTTATAAATATGTAAACACACATTGAAAAAAATATAATGTTACAAACAAGGAAGCACCGCAGTGACAAGATGACATACGACAAGTTCTTCGTTTATTAATACGTTATTTTTTGCAAGGACGTCCACAGGTGCGAAGAAGATGTGTTTAAACTTCAACGTACCTTTCTTTTCGTGGCGATGTTGCTGCCCGTCGATTGTAAAACCAAATTCGTATGGGTTATCCTCCTCAGCGGTCACATATTTGCTTCTCGCTTCTACAGCCACCAGCACACAGCAAACAGCCACCAATATTGCGAACTTCAAAAATAAACAATTGTAATATTTTATTGCCCATATTGTTTAACACTTAATTATTCGTGTTGCAATAAACAAACAAACGTGAATATAATATTGAGGACAATTATCACGTTGATATAAACTTAATGGAATATTGTTGAAGATTTAAAATGCAAAATGTAGGAATAAAAACGGTAAATTATAGTTGGATGAGATTCTTTTAAAACCAGTATAGTTCGTATTCAAATTTTTGGTCAAATTTGCATTTTAGGTGATTCACGTTGGGATTGCGTGGTTTTTGGGTTTTGTTTCATTAATTATTTGATAATTAGATGTCAACCAGTTGAAGTCAAGGTTACAGATCTTATAGTAACAGATTTTTGGTTAAAAATGCGGAAATTGTTTAAACTGTAACTATTTAATTGTAATTTACTTATAAAATTAAATTTTTAAAAGTTAAAAGTAAAGAAAATTTTTTTTCAAAATATTTACCCTGTTTCTCATTGTTGATTGCACTTTTCAATCCAAATTTAACTAAATATGGCACTTTATATGTTAATATATATTTGGTGTTCTTTTCAGATGAACAAAGACGCGTCTCAAATCGTCGCCGTTCCAGAACTGGCGGATTTTATAGTTTCCTTGACCATCTTAAGCGCGAATCTCCCGCTACGACACACGCGCATCGCGGCTGCTGAAAACCAAACAGGAAAAAAAGAACTTTTGAGATGCGTCTTTCCGCACCTCGAAAAAATGACTTGCTCTTGCATTGAGATTCTCTTGGCGTGTTGTCATGTTGCTAGATGTTTTTATTTACTAAACGATCAAGATTAAGGTCATCTTTCGGTGCTGTGCTGCGTTTTTGATTAATGATTTTTCGATGCAGTGGCAAAGTAAAAGTCAAAATTAAAATTATATTTTAATAAGTGAACTTACTGCCTTTTATTGCATTTCATATAAATGCCATGATGATATTTATGATACATTTTAACTCATTACATGCAATTATCTTTTATTTAATTATTTAATAATAACTCTTTTAATTTTTCTTAAAAAGTTAATTAAATAACTGATATTAATACTTATGTGTAGTTTATAATACCGTAACTAGATGGCGACAAAATTGCAATAAGTGCCTATTATCATTCCCATTGTTAAAATTATTATAAAGCGGTTTTTCCCTTAGAATAAGAACGTGATATATATTATGTGAACAATAAACACATTTAAACATGTCGTCATCGTCAAATAATACCTGGCGTGATTATTATTGAACATTCTTAAAGAAAATATCATAAAATCACGCAATAAAAGTTTAATTACTGACACGTCTCCAGTTCAATAATATCCGCTTCGCGCGTTAAGGATTTATAAACGGAAGTATCATTTACTATTGAAAAGAAGACAGAAATAAAAAGGAGTAATTCGATAGTCAAGAATCACAGAAGCTGTCAGTAAAACACCAAAAAACACAACTGAACATTTAATATTAACTCAACGCGATCTCTGGGTAATTAATTAACTGAAATGTTAATATTTAAATTATTTCTGCCTTAGGATACGTCGCGAAACAAAATTTCATTGTTTTTTTTTTTTGTTTCAAAAATAAATTGAAACTTGTGAAATTTATTTGAAGTAAAGGACATGACGACAAATGTGTTTTTAATTCTTCTGTTTTTTTACAAATTAAATCATACAATATTGTTAAATATAAACAAAAATTTTAGTGTTTTATGTTTATATTTTGATTACTGCAGATTGAACAATGTGTATATTACAAAATTATTATTTTATGCAAATGAAAAAATTTTGAATGTCATACTACTGATTTATTGTTTTCAACATATTTCATAAATTAATTTGAAGAACATTTTTAAATGAGCGCAAAATATAAACGCCTTCAATGAAATGAAAATCGAACGTTAAACTTTAAAAATAGTAGATATTAATACCTCGAAGCTATTTTGCTTGTTGCTCATCCAATATCCGTATTGAGGTAAAAGGTCTTTATTGCATTGATGCCAATCCTTCATTCCAGCGACTGGAAGCGACTTTTTCTAGTTAATTGTTTATTACTGCTAATCGTTAATATAAACATATCAGCATCTTGTTGTATAGGAAACGGATAGGTGCGTACGCACGAGCAATCATGCGGTAATAATAAACAAATATGTAAATAATTGATTTTTTTACTTGTGATGGCCCTGATTGAAAATCGTAAGATGTAAGGTCATCAATGAATTTGTTCTTTGTGTACTGATTTTATCAGGCATTGTTTTGATTTATAGAATTAAAAAATATGCACGTGAACATCTGCTGCAGCGTAAACCTGATTTTGTCGACTCATTACTTTTTTGTGATTTATATGTAAATTATAATTAAATTTAACCAGTTTTTAGTGTCAAATATGAAGAAAGTTAACAATAAATTATACAACGTGTTAATGCACGTGGTATTTTTTCCTAATATCTATTTGTAATAAATTTTGAATTATGAATTGTGTAATTTATTTCATTTAATTATAGTTCTTGATATAATTAAAGAATTGTGTATTTAAATGTTATAATCATTACATATGCTAACAGTTAATTAAATTACTAAGTATTTATATTTGATTACAATAAGTGTGTAATCAATGTCTGCGTTCAATGCAAATTGAATTTGTTCAAGCAAAACAATCTGTAATTGATTAGATGTCAAGCATAAATTCTTCGGTTTATGATAATATATGCAACAGTATAAAGTTTTAGCGCTTAGAGAAGATCAATTCTTCTTATGCTTTTTAGTCTTACTAATCCATTCGTTTTGTTTCAACTGTATCTAAATAAGTATATTTTCAATGGTAAAATCAATTAAACAAGGCCGTTTGTATATCAAATCGTAATTTATCAACATAAGGTGTGTATTTAGTTAATATTAGTGATAATATTAATAATAAGAATGCGAGGCAGGTACAAAATTGTTACACCGATAAACCCCGAGATATTTTTGGATTCAAAGGTCAATGTAACGTCTGCTTTTGAATTTTAAGTCATTCGCCTTTAGGGCTTTGGGAATTCCATAACTAGTTATGCAAAGTTTATGCGAGCAGACCTTTTGTAAGTGATTACTGCAGACAAATAATGACCATAGTTATCAAAATTTAGTAGTATACAGATTCCAAAATTGTCAAAAAGCCCGAAGAACCAATTTAAAAAGTAAGTATGAGTATGAAATAAAGTTAAATTAGAATAGGAATTAAAATGGGAAAAACTGTGCTTCGATAAAATTAACATTTTATTTATTTTTTATCAATAACATGCATTTATTTATTGATAAAATAGAATCTTGTAATTTAATATATTCTAATGTGTAATTCTAACGCAACTTTATTAAAAACGAAGAACTCTAACTCAATGATTCCGCTTCTTGTAGAGAAACCTGTAAATTGTAAATAAGTATTAACTTCTTTATAGTTTTCTGTATAAGAATTATATAATCATTAGTGGAGTTGTAATGAGAGGACGACATGGATGCAATATGAATTAATCTAAGATTTATACGATTCAAAAAAATATAATAACATAATATGAAGACAGTAAAACAATAGTTTTAGAAAAACAGTTCTTGTTTACAACTGCAAAAGTAAAAAAAAAATGATGTAAACAAGCAACATCACACTTGAGAGTATAAATATTTGAGGAACATTGTAGCAACAGTCTTATTACATTACAGGAATATAAATTGTTTAAAAGTACATCGTCGCGCCATCTCAGAGTAAAGGATAATATTCAAAAAGCCACACAACTTTAATAACAAATATTTGCTTGATACTTCTTACACAAGTTGCGTGATAATTTAGTGAACGCGTATTCAGACTTTTTCAGATCAATATTTTATTTAAACATGGTTTTAAAATCACTTATACATATCTATGGTTCATAATCATCCCAAAGATGTCGCTGCAATGTACTTTCACAATATTTTTCATCACACGTCGATTCGCTGCAACAGAAAGAAACAAGATACACGCACCAAACAAGATAAGTTTATTTGAACGTGCAACTACGAGTATAGTTGACCTTACCCAACGAATAATCAAATGAAACATTTTTATGTTGTATAGGTAGTTGTATTATTATTTACTACACAAAACCTGCAGTGACTAGTGGTAATTTAATAAAAGCAGGTGACATTTTAAATAATTTTTTAACAAGTTCCTTTATAAATGATACATCAAATTGAAGATAGAAATGATAAAGTTCCAAAAAAATTTTGCAGGATGATTTCCACACCAACATTCCAGTTTTCAGTTTTCAGTAGTTTAGAAAAATTAATTGCAATTATTTATGTCCATATAATTTCAAGCATTTCCTATAGGTTTAAAGAATTTAGAGGATATATACGAGTATAGTGTAAAGGGATTAGAGAGTTGAACGTCTGTGCAAATGTTTCTTGCATTTCTGGCAATTTCTCATCGTGACAAATGCAAAATAATGAGATTTCGTACAATTAAGTATGGTTTATTATTTAATTATAGGATATTCCGAAATTATGTCTTTATAATTATGCTTTCCTACTTCCTGTTCACAACACATTTAATTTTACTTCTAAATAGATATAGGTACATTGCTTTGTTAGTAAGAAGTTCCGGGAAAAAGGTAGGAAACTAGTAATGACAATTACCTAATACCGCAATTTTTTTAATTATTCTTTATTTTCCAACATATATTTCAGTGACAAAAAACAATAAGTTATCACTACACAGTTCCGAATAACATGAACTAAACTAAAATTCTCATTATGCTCATCAAATTAATTTGGCACAGTCTATTGAGGCGTCGCACACGCAAGGTGAATCGGTGTCATCTTTGCGGTCGTCTGTGCCATTGCGCTCACTCACAGCCTGCACATTGCATAATTGTTATATCACGTTTCCATCGAGTGTTCCATACGCCCGAAATCCAGCCACCAGCCACGCGTTGGCGATGACGGCGAAGAACAAGCGATTCAGCTACGATTCAGCACAAATTCGTGGGTCACATTCACGCGCGATGCGTACAATTTGATCGTAGAAAACGGCGACGACTTGTGCAATATGGATTTTAACCATTAACTTAAATACTATTATTTACGCCTTGCTGCAACCATAATATTTATTATCATCTTCAACATTACCTATTATTTTATTCTGTTTAAGTTATAAAATTAAACTTAATAACCATGTAACAAATTTGTTTTGAAATTGCAATAATGTTTATTTTTTTATATTTACATTTGTGGTAAATTTGTACAACATTTGTTTCTTTTATTGTGACTTAATTAATTTTGGTTGTGATACAGGCCAAGTTGCATTTATCAACAGACTAATCCATAAACTGATTAATCTACTTAGTAATCAAGATTTAAATTTGTATTCATAATCATAATCCGTGTTTCATAGCGATTTGTCTAAATGGCAGTGTGGTTGAACTTAATCGTATTTAAACTATTGAGCAATCAATTAGTTGGCTTGGGGAATGTGAGCTCCCTGAGGTTGGAAACCATTTTCGTCAGCAATATAGGTTACAGTGTAAGTGACGCCATCTGGGCCCAAGTAGCTGAACTGTCCACGGACGGCAATGGCTTCGTTTTCAGTACCGGCATTCACAAGTTGACCCTGTTCGGATTGAGAAATTCCATTGCTGGTTTCATAACTGGAAAATATTAAATTAAGTAAAATGATTAAAATGTGCATTACGAAGTCATCTTACGCGTAGTTGTAGCCATCAACACCAATGTTATCACTTTCGCTCTTAAGGATAACAGCATCTTTGTCTTGTTGTTGGGGGCAGCGAAAGTAACAGCCACGAAGGCAGCGAGGACAATAACCTTATTAGAAAGAAATTAAAAATTAAAAATTAATTTCTATTGTAATAATATCCACTATTAAGAAGAACTCACGAATTTCATGATTATGATTAAGCGTGTGTCGTTTCCAATCGGAGGACTGTTCTGAACTGATTTAGATAATCGGTCCTACCTGCTTATATACCAAAAATTTTGCACCACGCACGAGAATAAAACATCAAAGGTATTTGAATAAATACATTTCATTAGTCGTGGCCCGGATGAAGATGATGATCCACGCAGCGATACAGAATCGTTAAATATTCTTGCGTCTTTGTTGTTTATAGTTATTGTATTAATTCGATTTCGCATTTATACATTTATAATTTTATGTTCTAACCAAATAGGTAGTTATATCAATATCGACAGACAAAAACCAGCAGTGGCATCCTTCACATTTTTTATCGAGCATTAGTAGTTTACTCATTAATAACACTCGAAATGAGCGTTTTGTGTCGCGCGCACACGAAATGCCATGAGTATAACAAGATGGCGGCCGTCTAAGCGCTTGGTATGTCAGTTTGCTCCTGTGGTGGTTAACCTTTTACGAACTTGTTTACAATATTCGATCTTTAAAGAAGATCCTTTTTGATTACTTCTAAGTATTATGCGTGATTAATTTTTTCAATGTGAGAAAAAAGTTTTGTTCAATACTAAATTGTAGAATAATTAAAAGCAATAAAACGTTTAACCTAAATTATTAACATAATGTAAGTAGGTAAAAGAATTGAAATGTTTATCGATATTTAATTATTAATTTATTACCAATATGCAACAAAAAGATGATCTTTAAAATGGAGAAAAACGTTCAAGGTATTTTGAAATGTACGTTCAATTAATTACAAATTCATGTCATATTGGATTAAAAACCACATTAGATTATTTTTTTATGAATTATCAGTAGATATTTATAAAAACCAAAGTTTTAATTAATATTGCTTTATTATTATGATAACATTCATCACAATATTCAGTATGGTACAAAAATATTTACAAAATTTATAATAAAGTGTCAAAAATTGTTTTTCTGGTCATAACACATCCTTAATTATTGATTTACTTAGGAATATGAGCGCCCTCTGGTTGGAAACCATTTTCATCAGCTACATAGTTGACAGTGTAGGTGACCCCATCAGCACCAGTGTAGGTGAACGATCCACGGACAGAAATGCTCTCATTTTCAGAACCAGCATTGTTCAGAGTACCTTGTTCCTCAGCCTTGATTCCGTTGCTTGTTTCATATCTAAATATTTTTCCAAAAATAAAATATTTGTTAAATTAATTTTATTGTGGTATAACTAACCCCAGTTGTAGCCATCCACTCCAATATTTTCCAAATCGTTCCTTACAATGGTGGCATCTTTATCGGCGCCTTGTGGGGCAGCCAAAGCAACGGCGACAAGCGCAGCAACAACGAAGATCTACACATTAAAATTTAATTAAATTAATATTTAGTAAAATTAGTTGTGTAATATTGTGTTACTAACAACTTTCATGTTGGATGTTGTTATGTTGAATTGCACAGTTATCACAGAACTGAATAATCTCTTCGTCTGCAATTAGTGTTTATATACTCCCAACAGAGACGGGTTCTAAGTGACTGTATGACGAGTTAATTGCAACTCTTTTTGCTCCATGCAAACCCCACTTTATCCCCAAAAGTGCATGCGCCAATGCGAAAAACATGCACAAACAGCACAGGCGCTGAGTATTCTTATTAATTCAACAGATGACACTTTTTCGGCATGTGCCCAACTCGTGCCGCCTGATTAACTCTCGTTTAACAAATAATAACCTTTACGAAAACTCGTTTCGGATGCCAGCGCCTGCTTTGCGTGTCATCTTCTTCGCATTGCTTGGCTGGCGTCAAAGACAGGTTGTTATGCAAAGAAGAGTGCTCGCCACTTGAAGATGGTGTTCAACACACGAAAACTAACGATTATAGCTTAATACGCGGTCAGCACACGGCAAACAAGTGACAAGATGAACTTGAACTATTAACTACGAAATATCGACGACAAATGTGAATATGTTAATTATGCTAATTTGGTGATTGGTCACATATAAAAAAAAATGTGTCGAATTTTGAAGAAGATTTAATTTTGCTTTCTGTTTATGGTGCGTGAGTTATTGGTTATTTTAGAGTAAGTTATGAAGGTTTCTGAAGTGTTGGAAATTTCTTTCGACATATTATGGCATTGCTATTTTTAGACTAGGTCAGTGATATCCACTTAAAATTACATTTAAATTATTTATCTTTTATTAAAAACACCAAAACATATTTTGATATCCAAATATTGATCAAAAATCATTTTTGGCTGTAATTTACACGTATTTTTATTTATATTCAGATGTGGTATTACGTGTAAAAATTCTTCTTCGTGTAAAATGTCACTGATGCGCACTATCGAAAGTATTGCGCTGCCAGCGATGTTTAAATAAGAATAATAAATGAATAAATTACAACAATGATGTCTAGCATAATCTCCAATTAAAACTAAAAATAATTTTGTTGGAGTGCATAACACAATTCATCGATTATAAAACATTAATTTTGTGTAATCGACACTTTTTCGTTTAAATCAAGCGCCTAGAAGTTGTTTTGATTGAAAAAAAAAGTGATGGCAAATTTTTGTCATCCTCCCACGTATATAAACACTGACTGCAGGTTGTTTAATCATTCAGTTTAGTGATAACTGTTCATACAAAACTATCAAAATGAAAGTGGTCAGTATTTGAACTATATCTAATTTAATTATTGTGAATTTAATATTTAATTTTATTTGTGTAGATCTTTGTTGTTGCTGCGCTTGTCGCTGTTGCTTTGGCTGCCCCACAAGGCTCTGACAAGGATGCCACTGTTCTTAGGAATGACCTGGAAAATATTGGTGTTGATGGATACAACTGGGGGTTAGTTATATGATAATTAAATTAATCATTCATATATTTTATTTTTGAAAAATATTTAGATATGAAACAAGCAATGGAATCAAGGCTGAAGAACAAGGAACTCTGAACAATGCTGGTTCTGAAAATGAGAGCATTTCTGTCCGTGGATCTTTCACCTACACTGGTGCTGATGGTGTCACCTACACTGTCAACTATGTAGCTGATGAAAATGGTTTCCAACCGGAAGGCGCTCATATTCCCAAGTAAATGATAAATTAGAAAATAGATGACGACTACTCTGCCATTGGATTATTTAGTGTTATAAATAGTTGGATTGATCTTGTACATATTATTACATCAACATCTGCAATAGTGTATAAAATATGCAAACGTGTTCATTAAGGAAATAGTTTACATTACAATTGTTACATATCTGTTGAAAGCAAGCAATATTTAATAAAGCACATAAAAAATTAATCAGAAACTTTTTATTTTAAAATTATTAAAACCAAGGTTGAAATTGAACTGGTGCGAAATTTCATATTACAATACTGATAACTTTTATCCATTTTTTAGATTAGTATTAGACGATGGATCTCTAATGTTAGAAAATTTAGAAATAAGTAAAATAGAGAAAATGCATCATGATAACATAGAATTGGGTAAAAACCTTAGAAATCCAGATGATTTCAGGAAAATCGATTTTCGGTTAAATTTCTATATTGACCCTAGATTCTGCTTGATTTCAGCCGAACAAAAGGTAGAACAAAACCTTTTTGGACCAAAACCGAACCCTCCAGTTTGGTTGGACATATGCTCTAATTTTCAATTTTATTGATCAAACCAAAACAATCATTTCACGCGCTAAGACTATCAAATACAGCAAAATATATAAAATAATGTGGTGCAATTGCACCATATCACTGATGTCTCACAAAAGTGACCCAAAATTAATTAACATTTGCATAATAATATAATTTGCGTTGCCATTAATTCTAGTCATTATTCAGTTACACTTGCTAATATTGCTAATATAATAAATATCACTATATAATTATTTCAATAAATGCACATTAGTATTAATTACAATAATTATTACACCATTATAATATTACAACGCCACAATTACCCAAAATTATCAATAAAATAAAGGACACAATTCTCAAAGCTTAAAATTCAAGTATAATTAAATTGTTTCTATAAATATTTTATTACCCAATTAATTATTCAAATAACAAAGCTTTTTCAAGACATTTTCAATGTGAATCCACTAAAAATATAAGAAAAAGTGGTGTTTATAATGAAAACATTAAAAATATTTTTCAAATTTTTGCTTTATTGGGTGCTTTTCATTTTTACATTTGTCACAATTTATACATATTTACAAGGAATATCCTGAGTTTAATTGGAACCTATTGAGTTATTTAAAATAGTCTATTTAGTTCTTAGGAATATGAGCGCCCTCTGGTTGGAAACCATTTTCATCAGCAATGTAGTTGACAGTGTAGGTAACACCATCAGCTCCAAGATAACTGAAGGAACCACGAACGGAAATGCTCTCATTTTCAGTACCAGCATTGTTGAGGGTTGCTTGTTCTTCAGCCTTGATACCATTGCTCGTTTCATATCTAAATTCAAATAATTTACATTAATTATCTTCATAAATAATTCAATAATTCCATATAAAAATCTATTTACCCCAGTTGTATCCATCAACTCCAATGTTCTCCAGATCATTCCTGAGAATAGTGGCGTCTTTATCAGCGCCTTGTGGGGCAGCCAAAGCAACAGCGACAAGCGCAGCAACAACGAAGATCTACACAAAAATACAATAAAATAATAATCCAATGTAGAATGTATCAAAATATGTGGTAGGTAAATAATTTTCGATTACTAACCACTTTCATTTTGATTTTGGTGTTTGGGATTGAACAGTTATCACAAAACTGAATGATTAGCTCTTAATCCGTCGAGTTTATATACTTCTCCGATGGGTATTTTATTCGTTGTAGTACCCCACTTTAGTTGATGAAACACGTTTTTTGTGTGACTAGTAAATCAAAAATTAGCGGTCTGATATCCCGCGGCATCAATGATAGAAGAATGTGTGATGACAGTGAATTGCTTAAAATTGAAGATGGAAGAAAGAAAAATTTATATTGACATAAAAAATTAATAACAATAAGAAAATCCATTTCTATTTGTGTAAAATTATCATAATCATAATTATATATTAAAATACTTAACATTTTTAATATTAATTTGGTATAAAATTGGGTGAATTTATGCATTACTATACTTTTCGGCTTTGGAAGTTCCAATTGCAAAACTATCACCGTCAGCTGCAAAGCTCATCGCATAATTGCGGTTATCTTTCCCAACGTAATACAACCATCCATCTACGGCGACATTTTTGGCGTCTTTTTCACTCTCCAATTCGACATTTAAAAGTCTCAAATGACGAATCTTATTATGAATCAACTGTGCAAGTTGGCTCAATGATTGGCTTAACTCTGATTCCTTTTCATGCATTCCAATAGGCAGCGACACACTCATAACGATGAGAATAAAAATATTATAATCTAAAATGATTAAAAATACTTGTATACAATTTATATTATTTTTATTTATTAATATACTTACCACCTTCATTGTACGATGTGAATTTATGAATAAAAGTCAAATATAAGTAATTTATGGTTATTTTAACTTTTATAGATTTTTGCTAATCTACAGCCGTTTATCATAAACAACAAAACAAGTTATTAATGAGTTTAATGGCTTTAACTTATGTTTTATACAATATTAGATTTACTCCGTAGTAATTATGTTCTAGTTTAACTATCAAAGTGAAATAAACTGACTGACGTTTACGTTAAGCAGCTATATATTGACCAAATTTTATCAGTCATGATTATATTGTTTAAACATATGATATCTACTTATTTGCAAATATTCGAGGAATGTAATAAGATGCAGTCTTGAACTATTAACCATTAAGTCATCTTAACATAAATTAAAAGCCAGATTAAAAGGTGCTTGAATGTTACCCGAAAGTTGTTTGATGAAAATACCATCAAATGCGTGAGTGGGATTTTAACGCTGATTTTCTTCACCCGTGCTCACCTTTAAGCTGATACTGTCATTTTACGTCTTCAGCAGAGTATAAATACAGAACCGATTAGTGCATACACCAATCTGCAATTTGTGCAAGCAAAGTAAAGTTTAAACAAGCCAACAAACATGAAAATCTCAATTTGTGTGTTGGTTGCATATTTGGTAGTGGTTTTTGGCGCGCCACAAGGCGATAAAGATGCGGTGGTGATAAGAAACGAATTGGATAACATTGGCGTCGACGGATTTAAATGGGCGTAAGAAACATGAAATTTAATAATATTTGCATGCAGTAATTAAATATCAAAGTTTTGTTGAATTTCAGATATGAAACAAGCAATGGAATTCAAGCGCAAGAACAAGGCAGTGTGGCTAATCCAGGAACTGATAATGAAATCTTATCAGTACGTGGGTCTTTCTCGTACAAAGGAGCTGATGGTGTCACTTATACTGTGAATTATGTCGCGGATGAGAATGGTTTCCAACCGGAAGGTGCTCATATTCCAAAATAAGTTTGTAACTTATTTTTAAACATGATTTGTACATAACTGTCTGTATATTTTGTGAAAATGTAATAAAGAGATGAAATTAATAGCAAAAAACAAGAAATTATGTGTGATATAAGATTTGTAAGACTTAAACAAAGAATTACGAATTAAATTTCACTATTAACACCTTTTAAAACAATCCTAGACGCCAGACAATCACTCTCTCGCATCGCACACTTTCTTTGCGGCCATCACTTATGCAAATTGTTTAAATTATACAAATTCCAATTGCGCAAGCGGCGGTACTTTACCCACAAAAGTGTCCTTGCTGTTGCAAAGCTTACATCGTTTCTCCTACACGTTATTAACAATATGAAATCAGTTGTCACGTTATTTAGAATAAATACGAGTATAAATAATAATCAAAGTTTTTAATAGTAAAAATTTATTTTTAATTTATTTGAGCATTCACTATTTGCTATTTATGTACAAGATCAGTCTTGAAGACTGTTTTGTGATTTATTGCGGTGGTTGAGGAATATGAGCGCCCTGGGGTTGGAAACCATTTTCGTCAGCGATGTAGGTGACAGTGTAAGTGACGCCATCGGGGCCGACGTAGCTGTATTGACCACGGACGGCGATGGCTTCGTTTTCGGTGCCGGCGTTAATGAGCTGACCCTGTTCGGATTGGGAGATGCCATTGCTTGTTTCGTAACTGTTAACAAATTAATTAAAATTACATTTCGTAATGTAATGCGTGTATATTTGGTTGCCTACTTACGCATAGTTGTATCCGTCAACTCCAATATTGTCCAATTCGCTCTTCAAGATGGTAGCATCCTTATCTGCTCCTTGAGGAGCGGCAAGTGCGACAGCGGCGATAGCGGCAAGAAGTACGAACTGAAATTATTATAATTATTTAATTAATTATCCAATAATGTGATTGTACAATATATTGCCACTAACCACTTTCATTTTGATAAATTTGTGGGTTTTGTTTGGTTTGCGAGTTGCAAGGCAAAGTTTGGCGGCGATGTGTGAGGATATCGAAAATCTCGCTTGGCTTTTATACCGAAAAATGGGTTGAAGAACGAAAGCGCCGAAAATATCGTCCGCCCCACTTTGGCTCGACGTGGTTCTTCGCGTGGACCGCCATTGTGTTTCGGTTTGATTCAGCGGTTAGATAATGCGTGTGCGCGTGTGTATCACAATATTTCGATCGGCTCGATCATCGGTTAATCCGCGGGCATCGGCGGGCATTCTTCTTTCTAACGAAATGCCTCACGCCGACCTTTACGCAACGCGCAGCGTCCGAAGGAAAGTGAGAATCGACGAGGATCATCGAGAAGCGTCGCGAACTTGAACCCAATCACTCTCGATCGACCAAGAGAAACAAAAATTACATCTTCATACATGAAAATCGCGATGATCTTCACCGACCAACGAAAATTTAATGTAAATTTAATTAAAATGTAATTCGTTTTTATTCTCTTGTTCTAGACATAGTATGTGTCAAATCTATCAATAAGATTCGCAATTTTATTTTAAAGAAATTAATTCCTAAAGGATTGCTATTAATGCACTTCAGCGCGCCATCTCGGATTCAACTATTTAACAATAACTATAATTGAAGCTCAATGCCAACTTTTATCCTATAGAAAAGGGCTGTCTTTAGGGTTTTCCCGGCTATTATTCAAAATGTTCTCGCCGTTAAGACCATCTTTCGACATTAACAAATATTTAAAGAAAGAATTGGCCAAATTGTTCTAGGCGTTGTTGAGTTATGCGCATACCAACAGATTTTGCGATTTATTTTCATATTATAAATTGTACAAAATGATTGTGCAATAATAATTGGCAAAATCAAATAATAATTTAAACGTTCTTCAATAAAGCAAACACAATTAAAGTGTAATTAATCATGCAGCGCATCCAATTGCATAATTATAATAATTAATTACGTTTTATTAAGTTCAAGTCCATTCCGCTTGATTTGTTTCTCATCTGTCCATCTTTTGGCATTCTAGTTTATGTACCTGTATGTTTAATTCTAATAATTCAAACATTTTAAAGTACAAGGTTCTTACACGTACGTGCGTTACGTGTCGGTTTTCGGCCCATAAGTAACACTTAACACTTCGTCGATTCATCGCTGGACACCATAAAAATCCATTCAAAGAGCATTTAATCGCCGGCGTAATCGCAATCGTAACTTTGGCGTTAATTCAACGTTTATATTTTAATTTCACGTCGACGTGCGAGACGTTAAAGTTCGCGTGCAGGTATCATCACGCGTTTGTGACATCCTCCTTTCTCATTCATTAAATATTCAAATGTGAGTGATCAATACAAACAGTTGCAAACAGTCACAAATATAAATAAGAATAAATAATGTAATAGAAGTAAGACGTTGGTATTTTTACTTTGTTGGTTTAGGAGTTTTTATGTTGTAGAGACAGTTGGTATGGAAACGGATGAAATTAAGATGCGTCCTTGTATTTTATTATGGCGCTACTTCTTGGTCTCGTTGTTCTTGTAGCGAACACTATACATTGTAAATTGTAACGCTTTAGTGATGCATCTTGATTGAATTTCATAACGTGACTCCGGTGAACTGTCTTCGTAGCAAGACATTTAATCAACTAGGAATTACTTTTGATGGATGTTTCCTTTCAATCAAAATATGATATTGATTTATATTTTCAAGTACTTGATGCTAGTTACTTCTGCAGCATTGATTTTAATAAAAAGTGAAAAATAAAAATGTTAATAGTTGACTTTTGCGCCTTTCAAGTAATATTTTAGCAACAAAAGTAGTGTATTTCATTTTCAATGCTTAAAAATATCTCTATACAAATTTTGATAAAAATTAGTTAAATTGTTTTCACATAATTTCGTCACAAACATACATTTACATTTATAATACTAAATTTTGCCCGCGACTTCGTCTCGGTAGTGTTTAATAAAAATGTAATATCTACGTTTTTACTCTCTTCTTCTAGACATAGTATGTGTTAATTCTATCAGTACGATTCGCAATTTTATTTTAAGGAAATTAATTATATAAAGAATAGCTAATAATGCACTTAAGCGCGCCACCTCGGATTCAACTATTTAACTATAACTATGATTGAATCTCAATGCCAATCTTTATCCTATAGAAAAAGATTGTTTTCGGGGTTTTCCCGGCAATTATTCAAAATTTTCTCGCCATGAAAACCATTTTGGACATTAACGAACATTTAAAAAGAATTGGCCAAATTGGTCAAGGCATTTTGAGTTATGCGCTTACCAACATGTTTTGCGATTCATTTTTATATTATAGATTTGGTTATATTTTTACTTTTTATAAACAAATATTTTTCTAAACTTGAATTAAAATTGCACGTACATAGCAAGCATGCAGCGTGAATCATGAGATTAACGAATTACATTCTGCTCGTCCCTGATATTATCCACAGTTCGATTTGGAATGCGCGCCGAAGACGCGCACATATTTCAGCGCAAATCGAAGTAATTACAACTCTAAATGCTTCAGGCTACCTGCCAAGTGTAAATGTGCATTGATGTTACACAATCCAGCAATATAATTCTACATTTACTTTAATTAAAACAAAGGAATTCCACCAACATACTTGTATAGAAATAATTTAATAAAACATAGTTTTTGTAATACATAATAGAATATTAGTAAGGTTACAGTACGCCTTATGCATCTATGCAACCCAATAGTCTAATAAAAACGTTTTAATCTTCTTTATGACTCCATACGCCATGGTTGTTCCTTTTCTGTAACCACTGAAATCGATTATGCATGCAGGCATGATCCATGCTTCAACTCAACGTCGACGTCATAAACATTTTACAGAGTGTGCAATATAGGTAATTGGACTTTTACTTAAATGGAAATTTATGTGCATTTAAATTGCGTTTAAGTAACCCAGGACGAAAAATAATCATCTTCTCTTCTCAGTTCATCTTGCGCTAAACCCAACGTTATTAAATTTGTACAAACTTCTGAATATGTTTTTAATTATTCGTTTAATAATTGTCTGATGACAGTGCAAGTTTTAAAATAATCCGAATAAATTTATTTATATTAAATTTATATCAATGTCTAGGCCAAGCATCAAGATTCAAGCTACAAGTTGAAGTGTTGATGGAATTTCACACTTGGTTTAGCAAACGGTGGAACGAGGAAAGAACGCAACTGTAACAAGCTTGCTCAACGCGAAACACAAACTGGTTAACTGGAACAAGCTCATTCATAAAAAATGCTACCAGCTTCTGTCAGTTGCACAAGATGCCGACGATGGCGGTGCAAGAACGCGCCAAGATGAACGCGGATGTTTTCACTCTCGATTTACGAGAGTTGCCGGCATCGGCATGCCGAGCATAACTAATTTTATAAATCACTTATCGACATAATAAATATGAAATAAACTCGTTCGTTGAGTGTGTGATGTGTGTCGGCAGCTGTGGATGGGCGATAATTTGTTGTTTCAAGAACGAGGATGTCAGGATGCGAGAATTACTTAAATACGTAAATAAATTAAGCCAAGCCTTAAGATAAAAGTCATTACAAGCTTGATTAGGTATTTTTGTTGCAAAAGTATGCAATTATTTATCTGTAATATAAAAATGAATCACAGAATATGTTGGTAAGCGCATAACTCAACAACGCCTCGACCAATTTGGTCAATTCTTTTTTAAATGTTTGTTAAAGTCCAAGGATGGTTTTATGGCAAGAAAAATTCGAATAATTGCCGGGAAATCCCTAAAACAACCTTTTCTATAGGATAAAAGTTGGCATTGAGATTCAATCATAGTTATAGTTAAATAGTTGAATCCGAGATGGCTCGCTGAAGTGCATTATTAGCAATTATTTATATAATTAATTTCTTTAAAATAAAATTGCGAATCTGCTTGATAGAATTGACACCTACTATGTGTAGAACAAGAGAGTGAAAACGAATTACATTTTTATTAAACACAGTAAGTACATAATAAATATGGTTTGAATGAAGAAAATTGAAAAACCAACATATTGTCTATTTATTTGCGGCGCCGTATGGATTCTCATAAATAATAATAACATCGATTTGGCATTTAAACGACTTCATCCTCTTGCTTGCTAGCTTGACGTGCAAACTCGCACTTCACTTACCTTACTTAACTCACGTGCATGCGTCGCGACGTGAGCACACGACCCGCACCAAGCGTATGTTCGACATCTCTAACAATTTACCATCTTTCCCATAACCTTGTCATACTGATATTATATTATTTAACGATTGTCTTAGTCGCGCCGCTGATCTTGCGACGAATGCGAGGCAATCGTGCAAATACCCAACGAACGAATCGGATTCATCAAATGCACTTTGAAATGCACTTTAAACAACTGTAAATCGATTTTATCCACGTGTGACTGTGCAAAACATAAAAAAATAAGCAAATGATTTAAAGTGAATTTTCATTAATTTTTGTATGTTTGGTTGCTGATTGTCATGATGATCATGTATATAACCCACCTTACTCTTACTCTTTTGCTTTAATATTTACACTTAATAATTTCAAATGTTTACCTGTTTGATTTGTTACCGCCACCGTCTGACGTGTTTGGCAAACAGACTTTTCTCATCTTCTTGTCATCCGATCTTCTCTTGCGTCTTGCCTTTGGGCGTTTACGTCTGCTTGTCTTCTCCGCAGCACGCGGTGAATGACGAGTGTTAACTTGTGCTTTCGACACAAATACAAAGACGCAATATTCGTGCCTCCACATATAAGATAAAACATACATTAAACATAAATATTGCTGAAACGCACGTATGAATATTTCGACTTCTTTGCCGTTCGTGCTAAACCGCTCAACTCGCGGTGATTTGACTTGTTGCGCAGACTTTGTCTTAAAGTTCGAAATGCAAAGTTCGTTCTTCGATTCATTAGGATATTTTGACGTAACATCATGGAGAATTAAGCGTCAAACACTCGTAACACGAATTAAAACGCAACGACATGAAAAGCAAAACAAGAGATTTCGATTAGTCAAGGCCGAGAAGACGTTCGCGCACGCATCGTCGTTACTAAATTGAAGCACGATTAAAACAAGTGCGCTTATGACATTTGAAAATGTTAAAAACTCAATTATTCCATCGCAGTGTTGGAAGATTTTTAAATGGACCTTAAAATGCCAAATCACTAATGGAATAAAATGGCAATTAAAATTTACCCAAAAATTCCAATTGCGTTGGAATTATTGGCAAACAACGTCGAGTCAAACAATTTGTTCATTTTCTTATGTATCTAATATCTTGGCATTCAGACGTCCATTACGCATCGCAAAATACAAAATACAATGTCGCAACAGTTAATATTCTTCGTAGGTTGATTTTCAATTTACGTTATTGCAGATAATGTTAATGTGTAATGAAAAAATTTTTGCTTAGATTTCAAGACGCTTCTTGTAAAGTTTCCTTTTATTTAATAGTTTCATCTGTTTATCTTACAATATTTACATAAATAGAAACGCGAAGTGAGAAAATATCATCATCAGCAACACAGAATTTTATGAAAATTATGTATTATTGATTATTTGTTGTAAATTTCCTTCTTCTGCGTAGTTTGATTTAAATTGTCGAATGTAGATACTCGGCGACAATTGAGCTACCCTATGGAGGGCGCTGCGGTCGCTGTGGATACTCATGGCGCTTTAGGAAGATGTGCTCCCTGTGGTTGGAAGCCATTTTCATCGGCGATGTATGTTACAGTGTAGGTAACTCCATCAGCACCGACGTAGCTGAATTGACCACGAACGGCCATGATTTCGTTCTCAGTACCGGCGTTGTTCAACTGGCCCTGCTCGGAGGCGGAAATTCCATTGCTGGTTTCGTAACTGCAACGAAAATTTGCGGTTATACAACGTAATTAATTTATGTGTAAAAGGTGAAATTATTATTTATTGTCATTTTTGGGTGTCTGCGGTGTGTGTTACGTGAACAAATATATTCTTGGGTAAACGGTACGTGACTTGCGAGATGAAGAATGAGATTTCTACGCGCACGAAAATTTCGAATGGAATTTTAAGCCAAAATGTACTTACGCCCAGTTGTATCCATCAACACCAATGTTATCCAGTTCACTACGAACGACGACAGCATCCCTGTCTGCTGGGTTTTGTGGGGCGGCGAATACAACCGCCAACAAAGCGATGAAAGCAAAAATCTAAGCGAAAACAAAATTTTTAATTTTTAAATTTCTTGATGTAAAGTACATACAAGTACTTTGTACTTACAGTTTTCATTTTAAATATGGATGGATATACGAGATACTCTATTTGCACGTGGACACACAATGTCTGTACTGGCTGCAGATGTAGATCGGCCCCATTTATATAGTTGCTTCAATTTACCTTACCCACATTTGTTGCCGGCGTGGTGCGTTTCTGACATTTTACCACCACCTTCTTCGGCGAGTGCGCTGGGTCGCTGGGTGAATCCGATGCGGCCGAAACGACCGAGTGAATTCGATTATCGAAGAACAAAATGCACGCGCCGGCAAAGAACACAAAGAAAGAAGGAGAAAGAGTGTGCAGCGATGCATCCGCAAGAGGAACATCAGAGTTGTCGGCAGTGTGCACTGAGTAGATTCATCTCGAACATTCTGCAATCAGCATTCAATAGCACTCGCGAGTAGGTAAGATACTGGTTGAGTACTCTAAGTACAACGTGTGGTTACATGCATTATCGCACGATCGAATGTGTTTTTCTGTTTTATTTCGTGTCGACATTGCTGAAAACATGTGGAGGACTTTATTAGAGAGAAGAACATTTTAAAACATGCATTAACCATGTTTTTAGGTTATTTTTTCTCAATAGTATTATTTTTTATATATAGATGGTGTTGTTGTCGCTTATAACCTAAATGTGTTATTAGAAAATATTTTATTACCAATAAATAAGATATTCATATGTCTTAATTGATTATAATGTAATATTTTTATTTATTTTTATCGTCGGAATGCAAAAAATTATGTAAATTTTGCATATTTACATATTTTAAATTCTTTAAATAGTTTACGTGATTGGATGACACTTAAAACCCAAAAAGAAGACATTTCTAGACTTTTAATTCGTGAATCCTACGATCGGAGACTTAATGTGTTTCATAATTTGCATTTTATTCAAGCGTCAAAGTATATAATAGATTATAATGGTCAATGGCTGACATAATGGATTTGTGCTGGCGTGTTTTGACATTTGGTAAAATGAAAGGCATCAGATTTAATAACGACTTTGAAATCAAGCGTTAATCGGCAATAATTTCTTAATTAATTGAACATTTATGGTACAAATATTTTACAAAAAAATAACGTATTGATATATCTGTGTCACCTAAAAATAAAAAATTGTTTGAGTGCGTTTTCACAAGAATTAATTCATTTTCACTTAAAGTTCGTACGTGATGATTTATAACGCACAATTATTATTTGAAGCCTATTTGCAATTCATTGCGAGTTTGGTTTGCTTTTAAATGTTTGCCGTTTTGTAGTTTTGAAAGCCGTGATGATGATTTCGATGTCGATGTCATACGGCGTTTGTGCCTCTGCCGTGAATGCACCATTAATACAAACTAAGAACGTCAATTTCTTGTCTTGTGTAACGTGCAGGAAAAAGTTGCACATCATTAGCATTTCGAAAATATGCAGAGTATTTGCCGCACTGTATCAAAATCATTCAGCATCTGAAACTCACGATCATGAAGTCGTTTACATCTGATCGATTTTTACTCATTCATTTTCGTGCGACCAGGTTGTGTCTTCCTATAATTTCGCCGGTTTTATAGTTTTGACGAATTACTATTAACGACTTTAATTGAAATTACATCATCTCTTACCATATGCCGGTAAAATCGTAAGATAAAAGCGGTGAAATTGATTTAAATTGTAAAAAACGGAATTCAAAAGCAGAAGATAAAAAAAGTTATGCTGTTTTTGGAATGCTGTTACTAATACACGTTTAGTGTCTTTTATGTAAGCGCTAATTGCTCGTGGCAATTAACATAACGCCTCATAACTTGAAATTATGTATTGTTGTTTATCTGATTAGTGCACGCCGTGCGTGACGCGTGATTAACTAAAGCAAACGGACTCGGACGAAAATTCAACCACACGATTCCGAAATCGATGTGCGATTGTACTCCGACTGTTTTACATAATTACAAGCGACATAAATCACAATCTACAAAATTTAAGCCTTGAGCAAATAATTATTTACGAATTAATTGTAGCTAAAACGTTTCTAAAAAATCTTTAGTAAAAGAAAAGATTTACATTTTAAAGTTTTAAAACTGCAATAAATGTTTCTTTTTATTTGATATGCTAGGAATTGCAAATATCATCCATTGTTAACATTTCTATCAATAAATATTAAAACCGACAAAAGTTGATAATTTGAATGTCATTGTAATAAAATATTGTGTATAGTGAATGAATAACACATTAAAATCAGCTATAAATATTTAAAAATATAAGATATAAATAAATTAACTAAAACGTATAATTTGATATTAATTATGAAGCGTAACACAACAAAAAGCGAGTAATTGCTTAATGCAAGCCAGTGTGAAACGCAATCAGTGTTAATTTAAAGCTGCGCGCTCAAGTCTACAAACCTAATTTGCAAATAGAAACCTTTAGAATATTACATTACCAGTAGCAATCAATTGGGTTTACAAATTACAGATTCTATTACATTTTACAGGCATATGTGCAATACATTTGAAAATAATACGCGGTAATATAAAAATATATGACATCATTTTAAATTTTCCATTTAACATCTTCTAATTAATTACCAGCAAACAAAAAAATTAATGTAAAAAGTGTGGATTATGCATTTTTAAGCGCATTTACTCATTTGGTCAAGGTAATTCAAGGTTATTCAGTTGTTTATGCTTTACTGCGTAAAATAAACGCAAATTTTTATAAAAATAAATAAATTTTTGTTTTTTTTTTCAAGAAAATTAACTCAAAAATTAATTTTTAAAGTTGTTGAAACAAAACTACATTTGCTTTTCTCATTTTCTCGTTAAGAGCAAGTTTCTCAAGACAATTATAATTATGATTTATTGCTTAATGCTCGTTGGTTTATGATTAGTTAATAACTGTAATATCACCTGGTTCAAAAGTCGCCAAGTTCTTAATTATTGATTCAAAATATTAATTCGTACGCGATGTTGTCAGCTTCCAATATTAACAACACAGCATAGGAAAGTTCAACGTTTTATAAGAGCTGTCAAATGGAGTTTATTACAGATTTACGCGAACATAACTCACATGCAACGCAATGCAATGACGGTGATAAGTAATAGGTAACTTCAAAGTGCATGTTATATGTTTGGTTATGATGGGCATAAAATTAAATTAAGTGAATTGAAAATTGTTATTATTTGTAGTTAGGTTGAAAGATGCACAACGCACATTTTCACATATTGAGCAAAACCAACGCCATCTAATTACAGCGGCGTAAACTAAATAACACTCACATAACCAAATCTTTTACTTTTAACTTATATAATAATAGCATTGATTTATCAGCAAATAAATGTATGGTAACAAATAAACGATTGGTAAAAGAGATAGTAATATTCATCTTTGTAATTCTTCAAAACATTAATCGACGTTTTATGAGCGTGCCTAATATTTACACAAAGTTTAACTACATTTAATTTCATACAACGTTAATTATGCAAGGTATAACTTTATTTTATTATTTTGCTTTGTTCATTTAAGATGTTACAATAATAATACCTTTAATTTTAAAGAAACACATACAATTATTACACATTTATTGCAATGTGGTGCAATAGAAAAAGAAAATTGCATACTTGGCAAGGTCGTTTATTTCTCTAACTCATTTTTACATGAAGATACCACATTCCAAATAAATATTATTACACGTTAGAATGTTGAAGATGCATTGCAAGATGTTTTTACTTTGGTCACAAGAAGAAGTGAACTCGATCAGCACAAGCTGCGAACGTATAATTTGAAATTGTGAAAGAAGTAACATTTAACGCGCCGCGCCGGTCTGGTTTCTATCGAAAATGCTCAAAACTCGACGGTTCAAAATTCAGTATTCGGGCTCAAGCACAGAATCAAAAGTCACCAAACATATAATACTTTCTATTAGGACTGGTGTGAAATGTAAATCGTCTGCAAGTTAAAAGCTCCATTGTGATAGTTCAATGGTGCCATAAAGCAGTTCATGCAATTGTTGCAGTGATGATATATGATGCTGTGTGCAATGAAGTTTAACGCACTTTCAATTTAGTCTATTGGGACAGTGATTTTGCAAATAATGAGACTATTATTTGCAAAACATAATATTGACCTTTGAGGACAATTCTCATGACATTCCTTGTCCTAAATATGATTTTTGAAGTTTTATAAATGCATAATGATGAAATTTGAAGAAATCGCATCGGAACTTCCGGAAGAAAGTGAAATTTTGCATTTGTCATCTTTGTGGTCGGTGACTCGCCAACTTTGACATGGGTTCGGCTCATCATTACAATATTTTATACGCAAATTTATAAATAATTTAAATTCAAAACACAAACTGGCATTACTCATCTGCTAAAAGTTCTCACGCAAATATTTATGAAAGAAATTCGTAGAAAATTAAGTTTAAGCATAAAATTTTACTTGAAAAACTGATTAACCTGTCGTAAAATTTTACGTTACTGCATTAAACAGAGATTTCACACGATGCTAATCAGTTATTGCCGACAACGCACGGTTAATCTCGATCGGGAAGCGCAGAGATGATGCTATCAGTGTTTGAATATATCAAATAAACTTGCATAACATTGCATAATCAGTAAATAATAAATTTAATATTTTATTTTGTTTTAAAATTAATTTTAAAGGATTTTAAAGTTTTTTTTTTGTTTTTTTTTTGTAGTTCTTGAAAATTGGAACTCTTTGGCTCAAGGTCGAAGAGAAAGTTTTCCGATTAATTCCGATTACCTCATCGTCTTGCCCGCGAGTTTACGCGTACACTTTCATTGTCGGTCTCGTTGGCGTCTGCGCATCTTGAAGTGGTATATCTACTGCGCTCCGAATAGTGTTTTTACCGACGTTATATTATCTTGTCCATTGTCGAGCCCATTATTCTTCGTCGTTTTGCATGTTTTCGATTCGTTATTTCCACATTTCTTGCGCATTTTACGGTTCCGCGTTGACTTTTAACTTTTTCACTTTTTGAACTCCTTAAATCTTACTCTTTCGACTTTTTCAACGATAATTTACATCTTGTAAGTGAGAATCAAGAAAGTTAACTTTAATTTTGGCGTTGGCGCGACATTCAGCGGTTCTTTTGATACTTTGAAGCGTTTCTTTCTTTTAAATGCCCACATTGATCGTATGATACCAGTGTGATTCTTTTTGATCCTCTTGATATTTAATATTTATTCATGCGCAGACAAAAAGCGCTTATATCGCGTTTTATGTGATTGTAATTTTATATGAATGATATTTTACGTAGCACTTAGTTTGCAAATTTGGCAATTTTTCAGAGTTAATCGCTGTTGTAGCATTTAACAGAAGTCGTTAATCGCATTTTGCTCCAAATTTCAAGAGTATCAGCTACATCTTCAACTTTAGTTGTGTGTTACCAATGTAATTGTCACCGGGTCCGGGCGGAAACCGCACAAGTCGCGAAGGAAAGTTCGAAAGAAAGTTGAGCACCTTCATCAGTGTGTCGCGCCGCGCCGAGAAAAGTCCGGCTGTGGGCGTCCGAGACATGCGGCATGGCGTTACAGAAAGACGTAATAAATTACCGCACGTTATTATAACATACTTTTCGCTCGTAAAGCTAAAGTAAATTGAACTTCAAAAGTTGAAAAGTTAAAGATCACTGCGCGTGAAATATGTCTGGCTGGCTCACTGTCGATTCAAGAATGGAATGAGGAATGAGAGAAATGAAGAAATGTATGAAGTCGGCGAGGATTAGGTGTCCTAATCTCTGACATAACCAAATACTTTGAAAATAAATTTAATTACAATTACCAAACAATCATTTGTTTTCGTTTATAACGGAGATATTAGTATTAACTCCAAAACTATTACGTTAAATTAATGATTCTTTGGAGAGTTGCTATCGAAAGCCATCTTAACAAATATCTATAATATAAAGATGAATCTCCAAATATGTTGATAAGCGCCTGAACGAATTTGGCCAATTCTTTTGTTAAAATGTTTGTTAATGTCCAAGGATGGTTTTACGGCGGGAAAATTTTGAATAACAGCCGGGAAAACCCTAAAGACAGCCTTTTCTCTAGGATAAAAGTTGGCATTGAGATTCAATCATAGTTATGGCTAAATAGTTGAATCCGAGATGGTGCGCTGAAGTGCATTATTAGCAATTTTTTATATAATTAATTTCTTTAAAATAAAATTGCCAATCTTATTGATAGAATTGACACATACTATGTCTAGAACAAGAGAGTAAAACATATTATATTTTTATTAAACACTACCGGGACAAAGTCGCGGACAAAAGTTAGTTCTAAACAAAATTTGTATTCCGGCACAACCTAAATTTTTATTGTTTTTGCCATGCTATATAACTAAACTTTTACAATATTTTTAAATACATAAATATTCAACGAATTAATGAATAGTTTTATGCTTAAAATATTTATTTTTAGTACTGCTAATAGCAATTAACCAACAATTACTTATATTATCGATGACGCCGTGCATAACCTTTAATTATCTGCTCCCAAAAAACGTGTATACTACTCTTGTCAAAGAGCTTAAATGTCATATCAAGCCCGCAGGTAATATTCACATTTATATATGTGCAATTCATTACAACGCGCATTTTGGTAATTATCGCATTCGTCTTCTCATTATGCAAATCAATCACCATGCTCATTCAACTATTTACCTACAAAAATTATATTCATGCACATAATTAGTTATTATTCATACACATAATCATACAATATGTCTTCATTACTCTTCCAGCCATGTGTAACATCCAATAATTAAAAACAGAAATTCAACGCAAGGACGAATCGCCTTCAACCTAAGATGATTCAAGAAAATTTACGAGTGCGCGTCAAGTTGATCCATTGATCCATCTTTGAACATATTGTAGCTGAACAGCGATAATTCACCAGCAGCGTAATCGTTTTGTTGAAACAATATATGTACATTTACGCAGGCATACAGTGAAATGAAATTTAAGAGAAAAAAATTACTTAACATAAACATGTATCGCATCATGAATACGTTTGTATTCAATCGCGAATAGTTAGCGCAGCGTATGTAATGTTGGTGTAATTGTGCAAACAATTCGTGAATTACGCCGTGGCAGCGACACACACAAACACTCATTATACAAACACATATTATACATATACAAACACAAACGAAAAACGAGTTATCAAGGAGGGATGCCCGGCGCGCGAGGCGATTGATACGCCAAAGGTGTTAAAAAAGACAAATATACACATACATCGATATCGAAAGAGGCGGCACGAGCCACTGCGGGTATATAAGGCTTATTGCGCCGAGCAATTGTCGTACTCGTACAGTTGCTTTGTTTCCATCCAACACAGAAGTGCGCATTTACTTCGGGTTGTAATTTGGTGTGATATTAAAAGCCAGTGATTTACAAACGATAAACATGAAAACCGTAAGTGGCAATAAAAATAAAAACGATTCCCTATACTATTACACAATAAGTGACTTAAGTAATGCATTAACTTAATTTTTAGATAATTGTATTTTGTGCTATGATGGTTTTGGCTCTTGCCGCTCCACAAGGAGGAAAAGATGCAACAATTTTAAAATTTGAAAATGATGTTAGCCCCGAAGGATATAAATTTGCATATGAAACATCCGATGGCACTGCCCGCGAAGAAGAAGGCACATTAAAAGATCTCGGTGGTGAAGATGGTCAGGCTATTGTTATCACTGGTTCCTTCAATTGGAAGGATGAGAAAACCGGACAAGTGTACACTGTTACATTCACCGCTGATGAAAACGGATACAAACCAAACTTCAAAGCTGCCAAATAAAAGTGCGCAACTTTTATACACCTACACACACACATACACACACATAAAATATCAATACAACGCTTTAATATCAGATACTAGAAATTTGTTTGTACATGCGTTCTGATGTGATTTTATATTGAATATATTTTTATACATGAAAGTATTGTTTTATTTTAAAACGCAAATTATGTCATCAATCATTCGATGTGTTTGAAATCTGGGACTTGTTAATTACCAAATTATTTCTGCAATACTCCATGTTTATTTTTAGCGGTTAAGTAGCTGTTAATTGCACTTTTTACGTGTTTATATTGGGTTGCCGCAAGGTGTGTTGAAATGTGGTTTTTGAATCGGTTTTGAATCATCATCCTGAGTAGCTATTAGATGTTTAGTGACTTGTTTGAATAAATTGCGGTTTTGAGGTTTTGAAGTTTTAAAGTGAGTACAGTTTATAAATGCGTTTATTTTTTATCTAGGAATAAAACAAATAAAGCTTAACACTTCGTAGAAACAGGTTATTTAAGGTTTTTAAGTTTTTGTTGTATTTTTGTGTCCTTGCCTCTGGCTGGAGATTCGCCAAATGCCAGGACAATTTAACTTCGCAACGTTTAACATAATTAACATTTCACGTATTTGTTTGGGACGTTTTAACGTTTGTTATCTTATTCATGGTTATTCTACCAATTGGACCAAATTAATTTAAGCATTGATATATAATTTAATTGTTAAATAATTATGTATTACTTATTTTAAAGTTTTATATGGTAGAATTATGATTTAATTTAATGTGCTAAAAACTATTGATATTTAATTTTATTATCTTTTGGCGGTGTAATAAATTATTTTTAATGTTTTGAACTATAAAATATGTCATTTTGAGTTTAAGGTCCTTACTAATATTATAATTGAAAATGTGTGTGTGTCGGAATCCTTTCCAATAAATACTCATCCACCAAATTTTATAAACAATGGTATAGAGATATTTATGGACATAGAAATAAAAATAGGCTACATTTTGTTGCAAAAACGTTTAGATTGTATAATATAAGAGATTAAAGATGGTATTACGATTCAATCATAGTTGTAGTTATATAATTTATACCGAGATGGAACTCCAGTGCATAATTTGCATTTTTCATCGTTTTATATTAAAATTACAAATGTAATTGTATTCAACGCATAATATCTAATCCAAGAAATGGAAATTGTGAGTCTACTTTTTATCTAAGCAAATAAAGTGGTGGGCAGTAACTACTATTCTATTAACAAAAATATTAATTCATTGATATAGATTTTAATTTAAACATTTTTAGCATTAATATTTCACACATTAGAAATTCGAGAAATCAATTTATATATTTTTTTCTTGATTTTTAAAGAATGTAATATGCATAATTCACAAAATAAGAACAAGTATGGTTTATACAAAATGGCTTCAGTCTGACTTTGTGCTGGGCATTGAACATATATTTGACAGGATTTTGATGATGTTTTATTGCTTAATTGGATTATAATTTAAAGTAACGTAGATTATCCATCTATTTATTGTTATATTCCTTAACTATTTACATATGTTCATATTTACTTGTTTTTATGATGATGACGTAATATAATGTAAAACTCTGAAAAAGTATCAATGTTGTTGGGTCAAGGTACACATTTTTCGCCGTCGAGATTTTCTCGGTAACCCTGCTAATATAAAAGCATATTGCACTTCAACCTATGATTAGACACACATCCTTTTTGCATCAGTACCATTCTGTTGTAGTTTATCATGAAAATATTATACACGCTTTTATTTCTTGGAAGTATTCAGTTTTTAGAGTGTAGACCACAATCAGGTAGATCAATCAGCAACTATGAATATAATCCGTGGGGCAACGCTCCAAATGAAGATCAAAATTATAAGTACAAGTAAGTATTACTTTAATTTCGTAATTAAATTTATAGTAATTAAAATATCTTGAACTTCAAGTTACAATAAAGGGACACTAAATAATGCTGAAGCTCAGCACACCGGAATCGTGGACTCAACTGGAAGTAACCATAGTAAGAGCATGTTGTGTTTATGTGGACGATTCGGGTGCAGTGAAAACAGTGTGTTACAATGGTAATCAAAATGGTCATCTTTACCCACCACCGCCATACTCAAGTGATATGCCAACGTTTCCTTCAATTGGATCTGGATTCGGTGGCGACATTCCATCGTTCGCTGCACCAGCAAATTTAATTGCTAGTTTATCAGGAGGTGGATTAGGATAATATAAGTTTTATGCAAACCTATCTGGTTTTAGTCGTTATTGTCAGATTTACAGTCAAAAATTTGTTTTAAATTATGTGTTGCACGTTGCGGTAATATTTGAAATTTTAAAAATTTTGTCTGTAGTAACAAAATTAAAATAAATCAGTATATATAATAGCCATTTTCAATTTGCTTCTTATATTAAAAATAAAATACTTAAAATAAATTACTTGTATTTGAATGATACGAAGCTTGTGTTACAATGTTTGTCACATTGTTTACAAAGGCGTAAACACATGGGTCGTTACCATACAAATTGATGGCTTATTGCATATTGCCACACCAACAAACAAGCCGAAGTAACACATTTCTAAAGTGCAAAAACATCGCCGAGATTCAATCAAGTCTCGGGTTGCGCAAAGCTGAACCCGAAGTTAAGCCTAAATGCATTACCTAAAGATTTTTGCTTGTTCTGAAGCTATAGACAAATACTATATTTATTACTAAATTCATTGCAGTGTTTTTGCATTTTACAGTTTGCAGCTGCATTTTATACGATTGATTCGCTTGACGGCATTTGCACAATTTGCAAGGTTGTTGGATGCTTCACGTTTAATTAGTGAAGCGACGAAACGCCATTGCCCATAATCATAAAACTTTTCTTTTGTCATCCACGTTTTATTTGAAAAAGTTAATTTTTATTTGAATAATCATTCAGAAAATAATTAAACAGCTTTGACTTTAATGTGTTTTAATTTAGATCATTCTGTAAGTAAATTTGTTTGCATATGAACAATATTTCATTACATTGCGTTGTGCATTAAAATGTGATTCAGTGTGTGGCTGAGTACGGCGCGAGAAGAGAAGGGAAAGGCAGATGAGCTGACCTATTACCTCACCTTATAAACTAAAGGTTACTTGACAAACGGACGGACCTGCCGACTCGCGCCAGAATTTCTGCGAGCACACACGTGTTTATTTACACTCAATGCCTGGTATCTAATTATAATCAATATAATTGCTAATGAAAACGTATTCAATGCGGAGCTGCGGCGTCGCCCCGTTGTCGACTGACGGCGCCTTTTTTTGCGTGTAGTTTTTGTTGTTGCGTTTGTTTGGAGTGTAATGCAAAGCCAACGAAGATGCAAGAGATAGATAATCAGAATTACACAAGTCCAGATGATAAATTAATCTTTAATTAGTTAAATATCATTGAATTTCACAAATATTATGGATTATTATGTTATTTTTTAGGAAAAAGTATAAGTATAGTGTTTTTATATGTTAATTGCTATTTTGTATTTTTAGGAATAGATAGGTACATGTTGCAGTAATTTTCTTTGCTTTAATGAATATTTTCATTTTCTTTATTGAGCCTTTTACATTTACAAACTGAATTGTATTGCCATCTAGAAGTTTTAAATTACACACTAATGGAAGAGGCGTCAAGTTATTAAACTCGTTTATAGAGGTCGCTTTATGTATCATTTCTAACATTTATTTGACTACTACGATCGCTACGATTGAGAGCATTGTAGTGCAACTACAAATAAATCTCAAAACTTTAACTTTGTGCTTCTTTTTACCCTGCATTCCGCCACCATGACCGCCGCCTCCGCCGCCACCGCCGCTTTGCCACATCATAGGCCCTCCATGACCTTGTTCTTCTTCCTCTTCTTCCCTATAATATTCTTTTTGATTATACAAAATTTAATTTGATATTTAAAATTGATTCGTACCACATTGGCATTCCTGGCATCATCATCTGATAATTTGGCGGTGGGTACACAGCAGCGGCAAAAATTGTTTTCACAAGTTGCGGATCTGATTTAGCTTCTGGTTCTGGTAATGGTTGTGCAAGCGGAACTGCCGTGGTGATTGTGGCAAAATTGCTACGAATATAAATATTTGCAACATGATTGTTGTGTGACTGACGCGATTAGTTATGATGGATGGTAATCCTCTTATATAGTAAACTATGTTTAATTATTTTGATTTTTATCAGATTTCAAACGTTTTTAGTCCACGTCGTAAAATTGATTAACTATCAATAATTGAGCATATATTAAGTAATAAATAAATATGCTACTTTGATTTAAAACAATGAGTATTGTAATTATAGCAGAAACAAGTTGTTTTGTTATTAAAAAAAAATTAAAAGTAAAAAAGGTAAAAGGCTATAATTGACACTTTCAAAATGTCAAGGCGTTTGAGAACATCGTTTAGAAGCTTGTACATTTATTTATTTATGAGATTTACTACGCTTCAAATACTGGAGATTCATTACTAAAGAGAAATTACTAAAACATGATTTAATTGAATTATTGTGTTAATTTTGTTCTGTTCAAGCATTAATATCCTAATATTACCTACTTATCAAAATTCTATTTACCATGACAATTATATAAATGACGTGTATATAACTAAATTTCGATAATGTTTTATTACTTTAATAAATTATAATTTGAAATAACGTAGATAATCTTCCTATATTTTATTTGTTATATTTTTACGTATTCACATACTAATATAATGTGGTTTTGATGATGACGTGATGTAAAACTTTGAAAAAAGTATCAAACTTGTTTTTGAAGGTTTGCATATTTATCCCTCAAAATTTTTAACTCTGCTAATATAAAAGCATATTGCACTTCAAGCTTTTGTTAGACAAACATTCTTTCTTGAATAGGTGCAATTCATCAGTTTAACATGAAAATATTTTACGTGCTTTTATTTCTTGGAAGTGTTCAGTTTTTGGAGTGTAGACCTCAATCAAGTAGAGCAATCCGCAACTATGAATATGGACCGTGGGGCAACCAACAAAATGAAGCACAAAATTATCAATACAGGTATGTATTACTTTACTTTAATAATTTAATTTCTAATAATAAATAAATCTTGAAATTTAAGTTACGAGA